CTCTGGTGTCATCTTTTAACTGCCCAAAAGCCTGGCCTATAAGTGTGAAAACCTATTTTGGTAGTTTCAAGTCTCGATTTTTCCGAGATTTTCAAGTCTAGATATTTTATGATTGAAATCTTTAAAGTAAACATTCTCAATTAATTATAGATATTCAAACCGTCGGCCATTAAATTGAGAAGCAACCGTATCCCACTAGGCGATTAATATAAAGCGATAAATAAAACACAACTTTAAACAAATAATATACTTATCTATTTAACAAAATATACTGTCGTTACTGTACATTTTATAGCATTTATTTACAGCTCTCATGTTCAGCACGATCATAGGTAACAGCAACAGTCATTTCAAAAATATTACTCGCTATGTGTCCATTTTGTTACGCGATGCACGTACAGATGCTGTAAATAAACATTGAACGTCGGAACCACGAATACTGCCGATGACATAGACGGAGCTTGTCATTTTCTACCAATATCGTTCTGTCTCTTTTACACATGTAAAGGAGAGAACGGGATAGCATTTAGATGGAGTCTTGTCAAATTAATTTGCTAAAAATTAGAAACACGTACCACGCGTAACAAAATGGAACACCAAATATATTTAATTACAAGTAAGCTTAAGACGATGACAAAATAACAGCATTTCGCAACTTGAACTAAAAACAAATTGACGCAGTTCAGAAAAACAAAAACAACATAAATCAATGAAAGGAAAAAAAAACATTTATCCTACAAAATATGCACTCTCATTAGAGAAAACGCATTACTACGAGCTGGTCCACTTTTAGCCTTGACTCAACTATGGTGTAGATATTGTTAGGTGTTATTCTTCCGAATTTTACTTATCACCTCATATGAAATATTCTTAAGTCTATATGTATGCGTGTGGTGTGGTGGTGTGTATCACCGCGGTTCCTCTTAAGGATTCACCAGGGGACACATCGCATCTCTCATGACTTCTCGTCATCAGATACGTTAGATCCGAAATACACGTCTGGTTGTGTCACCCTGACGTCACTTACAATATAATTAATTATTTTACATGAATACTGCAGCCGTTACTTGAAAGCGCGCTTGTGACAAAAAAAAAGGAAATTAAATGAAAAAATATCTGCCGTTTCCAAACGAAAAAACGTAGTCATTTTCTGCAAAATACTCAATACTAGGTAAGATCGGCGCAAGTAACCCCTTATGCCTTTTCAACTTAGCATAATTACAACACTATTGTTAGCATTAGTGTAATAATAAGATGAAAGCGCAGTATGTGGTTTTTCTTCTTTATAATGATAGCTCCATCGATACTGGCGATCATTCCGTCAATGTCAAGTTAAGGAACACATGCACGACAGAATTCACTGAGAGGAGAATTTACAACAACAGAGAACTTACAGTCTACTAAAGAAACAAATGGTTATTTTTAATAAATTACACAAGACATACACAAAGGGAAAGTGCACCAACGTTACAATGTGTTTTCACTAATATTTGACTGACATTTTCAAGATTTTTATTACTTAATGAAAGATAACATTTCCACTTTGTGTAACCGTCATCTGGGAAATTTTCATTTTTCAACTAACTTATAACTATATACATGTAGAGTTAACTGAGGAAGATTTAATAAGTTAAGTAATGTGACTTGCGTCTTTTAATTTACTTAAGTGATTATGGTAGTTAAAACGAAATGAAGTATGTACGCAATTACGCCTATTTACCAATTTGTTTTGTAAATGCGTTTATTTAACTCAGTTTGACCGTAAAAGTGTGGATACTTACGTCCTTTCTCTTACGGTACCTTCATACCTAATCCACCTAGGAGAAAAATAGTGGCAGATTTGTCTTTTTTGCTTACATGTTAATTTTTTAGAACTTTTTCTGTCACATGCGCCCTTTCACGTAAAGGCGGCAGGATTATAGTACATGAAATTATGTTTAAAATTAAGTTAATAACTTTTTTCTGTTAAAATTGTAAGTTACGTGCTAAAGAGGAAGACTTGTCCAATGATATTTGTAGCTTAGCGAATACGCAGCTCGAGCGTCTATCGGAATGATACGTCTTGCAGTTTCGTTTAATGCAGTTTTCACTTCATTGACACACTTCAGACACTTCATTGCCTGCTTCCTGGCGCAACCTGTGTGAACACAGGACTTAACGTTACTTGACATAGTTTATTTTTCCAACTATACGGGTTCTAACCACGGAATAACAAACTGGTCGAAATGTGAAGTGGTCGTACTCTTGTAGTCAGTTATGATATATGTATCATAACCAACCTTTGCGGTGAGTCAAAGCTCTCTTAGTCCGAACGTGTGCTTCACTACGTAAACCAAAAATATTTTGAGTGAAATATGGTTTATTGTTCTGTTTTATTCCGTGGTTGTACATACAGTGGACCGACAAATTGTTTTAAACATATTTTAAAACCTTTTCTTTCATTTACTCGAGAAATAATAGATAACTCTTTACGTGAAAATAAAATATTTTTTGTTCCACAGTTGTCTTAAGCCCATATTTATAAATCCATATCAAGTGGAAGATGGATATTAAGATCTCAGTTAAGTAAACTGTCTTTGTTGATAAATATCACTTGATTGCACGTCATCGATTATTCATTGATTGAGCTGAAGGTTTTGAGGCCTAAAATTAATTGGCCTTGTTTAAACAAGGGCAGGCCCGTGGTCAATTAATACTACGATCTAATCCTATTGATAATTATAATTTAACAATAAAAGTTAACTTGAGACTTGCGTGACATGTTAGCCTTAGTTCCGAACAGGGTTACCGTCCGGCCAAATTTTTTCCGGACAACTCAGGCTTTTTAATAGGATTTAAAAAAAGTATATCTCACAATTTTGTAGTAAAACCGATTTGCAATAAAAATTTTGCTGCCCAGACGCTTGTCCATCTCTGATGCCGCGTGAAAAATTTTTCGATTTTATTTTGTCATCCGGACTTTCTTGCAAATGCCAGGCTTTTTGTCTGGACAATTCAAGTTTCGGAATGGTAACCCTAGTTTCAAAGACGTAAGAGCTGTTTTGTTCAATTTTGATTATACACAAGTCGGCAACAAATGTTTGCTTTTAAATTTTAATTACTGAAACCCCATTGTTTTATTGTCGTCTCGTGACATTCATAAGAACACTTTGTTTCCAAGACCAAAAAAAAACATTTAAAAATATAAACATTGCGGTGCGTGCTTATTGTAACGTCACAGAACAAGTGTTTTGCTGTAGTAAAACAATTCAGTAAGTTTTTGGAGTAAAGAAAGCAGGCAATGAAAAGTGAAGAAGTCACTATGAAGCTGCGCATTTTAGTCTGTTTTTAATATCACCGCCTTAAACTTACAAATCGTAGTAAAATATGATAAAAGTGAATACAAAATTTGCATATAGACCCTTATCGTGACGACAAAATTGTCGATTCCCCAATAATAAAAAATAAAAACAAAACGTTATCACAAAGTAAAAGAGGCTTATTTAATTGTTCATCACATTGCCAGGTAATAAGAAGTTTTTAACTGTTTTACTGGAGTCGTTTCAAGGTCATTTGCGCTCTCTGATGGCAGAAATCATAAACCTTTGTGTACTGTAACTTACGTCCAAGAGCACCTGGATACGACCCAAGGTAAGGCTGCCGAAATATCGGCATGACGTACGTAACTAATATCCAAAGAACATCAGTAAGTATCTGTTAAACTGTTCCAAAATGAATTAAGTTAATTTTAAGTTTATTGTAATTTCACTAATGAACAAAATTATTTAAACTAACAAAATATAGAGCTAGTCGTTATTGATTGGTCGTTATTTTAATTTATTGAGATTGATAACAACTGTAAAATGCTCTTTGGCATCTCAGAGTTCAACTGTTCACCATCTGTTTTGTTTTTGCAGCCCACTTGTGAATTGAACGTTGGACTTAAACATAGTGACTTTATGACCATTAAGGGACATTTCTGTACTTAACGCCGCTAGCAGACTGTGGAACATTTTGTCCGCCGAGTTTTCCTAACACACGCGGTTAGCACGGGACAGGGTCGAAACGGCAAACGCCCCGACGACGCGGGGCGGCAGATCTAGACTGGCCTGATCCCGTCTTTGTTCTGCTTCTCCCACAGCCTGTTGTAGAGCGAGCCACTCTTGGCCAGCAGCTGGTCGTGGGTGCCCCTCTCGCTGATGGTGCCGTTCTCCAGCACCAGGATCTCGTCGGCGTCGGCCACCGTGGACAGGCGGTGCGCGATGCAGATTGAGGTGCGGCCTTTAGTCGCCGCCTTCAGCGCTTGGAGGATCGCCTGCAATTCGGGCAGGTTCGGTTAAGACTTCGCGTCTCCGTGGACCTGGATTCCCCCAGCATTCGCTGGAGGCGTGCCCCGCGTGGGCCTCCGAGCGAAACGCCCTGGGTGCCCGGACGACTGTGCTGGCGGGTCAAGAATCTCGTTCTGTGAAGCTCAGGAGGTCGCCGAGCGGGATCGACGACGGGGCGGCCGGTTCGTCGGGAGGAGGGGAGGGGGAGGACGTAGCTCCTCCTTGGGGCCGGGGAGGTTTCGGTGTGCAAAGTCGATATCAGATCCATCCCACTGGAGCACCCGGAAGGCCACCGTGGGGTTTTAGCCGGCAGAAGTCCGACGAAATCGCTAATCGAGCGGTATAGGTACAACCTCTAAGCCGCGAACTGGACTTACGTGCTCCGTCAAGGAGTCCAGGCTGGAGGTGGCCTCGTCGAAGACGATGATGGGCGAGTCCTTGAGGATGGCCCTGGCGATGGCCACGCGCTGCTTCTCGCCGCCCGACAGCTTCAGTCCGCGCTCGCCCACCTGCGTGTCGTAGCCCTACGGAAGGTCAGCTGGCTGTAGTCGTCTGCCGGGACTCTGTGGGTCGGGCCGACGAGACCAACCTTGGGCCAGGTCAGGACGGAGTCGTGCAGCTCGGCCAGCTTGCTGGCCTCGTACACCTGCTCCTTGGACTTGCTCAGGTCACCGTAATGCAGGTTGTGGAATATGGTGTCGTGGAACAGTACGCAGTCCTGGGGGAGAAGTATGTTAAGTTACGAGAAAAATAGATCTAATGTAACATGGCAGCCGGAAGATACGCCGCCCTCGCGTTGAAAAGTTAGTGGCAACAAATATGACCAGGAGCAGTGTTGGGCAAAATTTAATTGTTCAGGCAGTTAAATATTGTCAATTAATTAATTGTCAATCGCGACGACAGCAATTAACAATTTATTAATTGCAATTAGAGAAATTCACGGTTAACAATTTATTAATTATTAATTACTGTTCTCGCAACTAACGATTAATCAATTGTTAATCGCTTATGTATACAATTAACAACAAATAAATTTTCAATCTTTACAAAGCTTTTAATTAAAAATTAACAATTGAAAATGACAGTTGTGATAAATTGGTAAAAGCATATAAAAGTATTGAAATAAGTATGTATGTATTGTACGGACAACGGCACTTCAGACTACACATTTTTGATCGAAAATCGCCTCCATTGCAACGGCACAAGATACGTCAATGTGTAGCTTGATGTGCTGGCGTGTGTACTTAGCAATTAAAAGATCAATAATTATGATGATGCTGATGTTGCAGAAGATGCTGATGCTGCAGATGGTATCTTGATGCTCATGGTGTTGATAAGTGGTAATGATGCTGGTGGTGCTGATGATGCTACTGATGATGACGGGTGGTCAGGTATGCCATCGATATCGTGATCAGCACCATCAGAATCATCAGCACCATTAAAGTCATCACGACCATTCGCATCACCAGCATCAGCACCATCAGAATCATTATCACCATCGCGTCATCAACTTTGTTTACATTTTCGGACTTCGATTTCATCTACGAGTACACATGGTTAACGTTTTTATTAGCGTAGCTCAACATAGCCCCGCACTAGGGAAATCCTGTGTCGCGGGTGGCATGGATATACACATAGACAACCACAAATTACACCCAAACTCATGGGAGAAATAAATGTGGGCCATTCAAATATTTCTTCCCGGCCCGGGAATCGAACCTGAGACCTCTGCGTGGCAGTCCGGCGTGGTAACCGTTCGACCAGGGAGGCAGTACAGTATTTATTACGTAGTCAATTCGATTAAAATTAATTGGAACGCGGAATGAACGGTTTAATTGCAATCAATTCTTTAGTCAATTAAATGTCTGATTGAAATTGAATTGATTAACGCCCAACACAGGCCTGGAGACTGAAAAGATCGCGTGGACCACGGCCGGAGTCGTCTGAGGTCAGACTGCTATGTCGGCTGCCGAAACGAACCGACCTGCGGCACGATGGCGATGGCCTTCCGCAAGCTGGCCAGGTCGACGCCCTTGATGTCCTGGCCGGCGACGAGGATCTGCCCCGACTGCGGCTCGAAGAAGCGGAACAGCATGCGCACCATCGTGGACTTGCTGCAACAAGGCGGCCGTGAGCGCGGGCGGCGGGCGGCGGGCGACGGGCCGCTGCCGGCCACGGCGCTCACCCGCTGCCGGAGCCGCCCACGATGCCGATCTTCCGGCCCGGCGGGATGCGGAAGCCCAGCCCCGTGAAGATGGGCTTGCCGTTGATGTACTTGAAGCTGACGTCGCGGAACTCGATCTCGGCCGTGGCCGCCGACAGCCGCAGCGGCGGCGCGCTGGCCTTCTCCTGCGGGCAGCCGCTCGCGTTAGGTTGGGTTAGCCGTCGCCGGGCGGACGGGCACCGGCCGGGGCCGCGGGTCGGACCTGGATCCTGGACTGCACCGTCATGAGCGTGAACATGGTCTGCATGTCGATGAGCGCCTGCCGCACCTCGCGGTACACCGAGCCCAGGAAGCCGAGCGGGATCGACAGCTGGAACAGCAGCCCGTTCACCATCACCAGGTCGCCCACCGTCATGTGGCCTGGCGACGGACGACGGGCGGTAACGGACGCGTTATAAATATGACCATAGAAGAAGTTTGCTAAACTAAGTAACATTTTTCGATGACGACTTTAAAATGTTACACAAATTAAAATTGTTCAACAAAAGTTGTGAGATATCAAGTTCAAACCTTCAAAAATATATTATATGAAAGTATTACTCATTCAATTTATTAACTAAGGATTGAGGGTCGTATTTTAGAACTCTACTCAATGCTCAAGTCAGGATTGCACTGGAAACACAAGCACTGGAAATACGACCCTAATGGCAGGGACTTGAGTATGATTTCGAGTGTTTTAAACCATACTCAAATCCTGACTTGAGTATTGAGTAGAGTTCTAAAATACGACCCTAAAACTAAACGGGTTTGTTTATTTTTTTAACCGACTTCAAAAACAGGAGTAACTTCTTAATTCGACTGTACTTGTTTTTTTTGTATGTATGTTCCGCAATAATTTGTAAACCGATTTTTATATTCCTTTTTGAAATTTGAAAAAAATATTCCACTTCTAAGGGTGGCAAACTAGGGCATGAATCCGGTTTCGCGCACTTCCCAGTAACCGATCCCAATAAAACTTGGCAAATAGATGTAATTCCATGAGCTTTTGAGGTAGGTTCCTTTTTATAAAAAAAGTTATTAAGTTTATTACAAAATTGATTGAAACTGATTATAATTCTGAAATTAACTAGGAACTTCGAAAATCTGCGTTATCAGTAGTATACAATTATAAAAAAAATAACGGGCTAAACCATGTACCTTGTGCGATCTGATTGGCAGCCATGATCATAATGATGCTCAGTCCTCCGCTGAATATTGCATGCTGCCCGAAGTTCAGCAGCGCCAAGCTTGAAGCCGTCTTCAGTGACGCCGTCTCGTACTTCTTGAGGCTCATGTCATACTTCTCCAGCTCGTACTTCTCGTTGTTAAAGTACTGTTAAATAAAATTATTATTCATGTTGTAGACAACCATGGAGCAGCAGAACTCAATCTAAGTAGAATAGAATAGAATAGAATAGAAATTATTTATTCAATGTAAAGCACAGCACACATACAATTTACAAACAAAACAAAAACATAAAAAATAGATGAAAGAAAGATAAGGGAGACAGGATGTGTGCTGTGCAGCCACTGAATCCGTCATTCACTCAGCTATTGCCGTCTCACTGAAAGTGTGGTACGACGCTGATTTTCAGTGGATTCGGCGATGATTCGTCGATGATTCGGCGATGATTCGTCGATGATTCGGCGATGATTCGAGGCATGATATGTAAATATCTACTCTATCCCTATGTCAAAATCGTGCTATTCCTCTTTTCATAAAGTTCAATAAGTATATGGGTAATTTTCAAGTCAGTTTTCTCTACCCAATTTGGGTGGTAATTTTTATTACTAACATATTATAGAATATTATATAATACTCGAGTGTAGTAACCTGAAATATTATTTAAAATTCTAGATAATATACACGAAAACTTAAATATTAAAATTGTCAATTAAATGTAATTTATAGTCGTCAATGTAAGAGCGCCAATTTGACAACTAAGGAAGACGTAACTTTGATTGCAATCAATGACACAGTAAACAAACAATTATTTACTTATCGAGTTTAAAAGAAATACAGGCTGTCCTCACGAACACTGTTAATGTAACTACTTTACAAAAGTTGTCCTTGTGATCATTTGATATATTTACTTATTATTTATATTATTAAACTCTATATTGTTAAATAAATGTTAATTGTTCCACCTAGAACTGAAAACCAATGACCCGAAAAATATAATAAACGATAATAGACTCATAGAATTTCGAATCTTAAAAATGACTCGTAGGGCCGTATTCTAGAACTCTACTCAATGCTCAAGTCAGGATTTGAGTATGGTTTAAAGCACTCGAAATCATACTCAAGTCCCTGCCATTAGGGTCGTATTTCCAGTGCTTGTGTATCAATTGCAATTCTGACTTGAGCATTGAGTGGAGTTCCAGAATACGAAGAGTCGTTTAATACACATCCCTATTTACGTTACGATGACAAGCGTCAAAAGGTGCCTTTTACTTTGTGACGACTTGAACCTGAAAATGACCCATTATATTTATGTAGATTGCGACATAGGCTGTAATAAGTGGTAACGGCATAATAGGAAACAAAAATGGCTGCGCACCTTGACGGTCTCGTAGTTGATGAGCGAGTCGATGGCCTTGTTGCCCGCCTCGTTCTCGGCCCGGTTCATGTGCACGCGGAACTGCGTGCGCCACTGCGTGATGGCCAGCGTGAACAGCGCGTACACCGCCACGCAGTTCAGCGCCAGACCTGCGCCCACATACTACAGTCTCATCCGACCCCGTGCCATATACAGGCTGGCCCGTTTTCAGTGGTGACATTGTAACGATTCATTTAAAATAAACCTTAGTTCTGCAACTTATAATTTTTTACGTACGTTTTTCAAAACTTTCTTCTCTAGTCACTAACACCATTCTAGTCTAAAAAATATTCCACTAAATTAATTGAAATTTTGTAAGGAAGTATATTACAGTAAGTAATGTTTGTGTTTGTTCTTAGATTGCGCCGTCATTTTAGACTTTTAGGAGATTTTTTATTAGTTGACTAGTTTACAACCATTCTAATCTCTCACAACAAATATCAGCACAATGTCAACGACTAATGGATTCATACAACAAGATTGGAAGAGAATTTTATTCTCCAACTTCGTGTTATTGAACAGAAAATGATTGCATTGCAACAATTGCAAAATCTCAAAATATCCACCCTTCTCAAATTAAGAAATCTTTCTATTTCACAGGTAATGAAAATACACTTAAAATCACATTGGTTGAGGTGGTTTTCCACCGGCGAAATGAGACGAGGCGAGACGAGAACTGAAATTTGTATGACAAAATTTCAATTCTCTCTTAGCCCATCTTCGGTGGAAATGGGCTGGATGACGAGGATAGGCGTGGCGAGAATTGAAATATTCGTTGGTGTAATATTGAACCGTATTGCTGCCTATACAGAGTATTATACTCTGCAACGGAAACACGATTTCTCGCGCGATCTTACGATAGCTATTAGTATCAATCGCGAGATTGTGAGGTATGTACGATTTGAGATTTAAAAAGATGGTTTCGTCTGATTCTTCTTCCGTTAACATATTTAATAATAATAATAACATAGGAAATGAGACTATTATTCCGGATTTAAATCGCGTATATTTGTTCTTTTGCGTCAAAGAACATATAGCTGATGTCAAACACCGTCGCGTTAACAAGTCTGCAGTCTGCGAGCATGTCATGGATAAACCTACTTACTACTTCAATGAAGTTTGACAAACCCCAGGTCCTTGCAAAAGAAGTCCGTTATCTACCCAGGATGCTGCGAGAGGCCATTGAAATTAAAAAACATCCTAATTTCAACAGGGAAGATGGTTTCTCCGTACCACCAGTTTGTGATCCAGTATTTCCTCTTGTACGACTAAATCGTACGTGTCTGTTCTTAATTTAGGTCGTAAACATTATGCTTCCTTTACAATAAATTTAGTGTACATCACGCACTCAGCAGAGTTAGTCGTTTTAATTACCTCCGTCTATCACCTTATCATATTATCAATACCACGATCAAATATCAAAGCTTATCATCATTCTTATCAATTATCATTATATCAGTGAATGTAGAATAAACCCTACACCTCTAATGAAAAATCCCAAACAGACATAAGACTGCAGTACTAATTAATATGTTTTAGTTTATTCTAATTTTTATTATTAATTAATAATAAATCGAACTTAATAAAAATTCATGCAATAAAATAATTTGTAAAACTGAATGTAGCGTAAATTGGAATGTTTTCTTTGTAAAATTAAAAATAAGATATTTAATTAATAACTATAGAAAAAATAGGGTGGTTTGCATCAATATTAGACATAACTGGTTGAAGTCTGTACCACCTCAGTCAACCGTGACCATGGGACCTGTAAAAGGCCCGAAACGTCGGTTTCTTTGAAAAAACAAATATACGTGATTTAAATCCGGTAAAATAGTTTCATTTCCTATGTGTAACAATCGCGTAAACCTAAGAACTCGATAATAATAATAATAATTTACGGGACACGTTACTGCAGCCGGGTATTTATCGCTAGATTAATAGCACTAAATTCTCACTAATCACAATCACAGCGCGAGCTCGCGATGGTTCGTGCGAGCATTAAAGGCAATTTTTGGTGGTAACAGGCCGGTGAGATTTCTATTCTCGTCTCGCTTCGCCGGTGGAAAACCACCTTTAAACATTCACTCGCAAGGCGGACTCCCCTGAGAAGTTGCTCTTTGTAAACAGACTTTAATTCATTCTTATTATTTATAATATTTATTTCGAATATCGTAGAACCTGAAAGCGCTAAACAGGTAACTAAACCGTGGACTTTGTAATTTAAGTAAGCAGAAGTTGTATTTTTTAGTTAGCTTTACTGCAACGTTTTTGTTTCAGTTGCAAGATTACTTAAATTTAAGTAAATTTGATACAAATATTGATTTTCTGTCAATAGAACGCCTAACCTGTGAACGCCAGGCCGCCCTTCAGGCCGAGGATGCTGCAGACGAGCGCCAGTTCGAAGATTGTGGGCACGATGTTGAACACCATCGCGGACAGGACGAAGTTGATCGCGCGAGACCCGCGGTCTATGGTCTGCAAAAACGATTGGTTGTTTTCTATTAATACACAGGGTGTACAGGAAGTACCTTAAATGATTAAGATAGCTTTATTTATTTATTTTATTCACAATTAAAAAGTTTACAAAAAGGAACACACAGCCAGCGAATAAAAACCATTAACAGATTTATGTATCGCTGCCTTCACATGCTATCAGGCGTCTAACAAAATAATTAGTGACCAATACTTATATGTCTCTAATAATTTACGCAACTAACTAATTTTATTTAAAGGAGATATTATTTTGTATTGTATTTTTAATATGAATAAATACAGTTACATAATATTCACAGCATTTTTGAAAAGCCTGTCTGAACCGGGGATCGAGCAAACTAAAAATGCAAAAAAAAAATTACCACTATTTTATTCTAATAATGGATAGTATCAATAATAAGGACAAAATCTCAAATAAACCTTGGGTCCTACGATTAAAGATAACCATGAAATGTAGTATTAACAATAATGTGAAATACATGTATACGAACATTGACTTACAAATAAATGGACGACGGGTCTAATACACAAACCACGAAAAAAATGTCCCAAGTCAACCTATTTAAACGTAGTGACATGTAAAGGAATATGAAAAAGCTAAAACGTTGAATTTAAATTGTAATGTCATCATTGTACTGTCTAATTTTGCTTGCTTCGCTGTCAGTCGAACAAACGAAGACTAAAGCGTGAATGACGCTCTGTATACGATTTTAACGCCCTATAAGTTCGGACACTTTTTAGCGCGGACCCGACGTCCATATAATAATAATAATAAATGTTTATTTCAGTAATACAATTAACTTTACATTAACAGTGGATGGTACCTCCTATTAAGCTTATCAAGCCTGTGTCAGAAGGCACCGCTCTTCCATAGCTATAAATACATATTTAACATTTTTAACTTATACTTAATGTAGTGTTTAATTTTTACATTTCCAAACATCGATAAATACAAAACAAACAATTTTTTTTTTTTTTAACAATTTTCAATTTTCTTAACTTCTAATTTTAAATTTAATAATATAATTGTAAGTCAATGTATACGAAGGTATTAATTACTAAATATGCAAATTGCAAGCTCTTACAGAATTGCATGTATTTCAATATAAAGAGAATCTATACAAAGTGACAAGTGATTATTTATTGATGCATTTGACCATTTGCCCCACATTAATTTCAGTGAATGTTTATTGGCACTTTTCCATAACGGCCAAGGAAAACATTGTGATGAAACTTGGTAATTACGTTTGACAAGGAAAATTTGTAGTTTATAAGTGCACGTTAGGGGTGGCATGAAAGGAACCTCTTCACAATGACTTAAGAATTGTTTTCCTAGTATATTAACCTGGACAGCAATCGGCGAGTACCTAAATCCACGATAGCAATCCCAAGTACAGTTCAACATGGCAACTCTTTGTGGCGTTATCGGCGCGGCCCAGAACTTGGCCGCGATAATAGAATGTCGATATTTATAGATATTTTCAAGTCCTCAAACCCCCCCGTGGTGAACCAATGTAAATGTAAGTGGTATTACCCTCTTCTTTGTTATAATTATTAATACAAAGATCGAACACTCAGAAAAAATTCCTTCGATCCGGCCGGATTCGAACCAACGTCTGCTAGCTTACCGTGGCAGACGCTATACCAATTAAGCTTAGCTTCCGAATCCGGCCGGATCGAAGGAATTTTTTCTGAGTGTTCGATCTTTGTATTAATAATTATAATAAACTATTGGAGTAATTTCACAAAAAGTAATTGAATATCGATTCAATAAAAATTTAAAACCCTTTTCTTTTTTTTTAATCTTATTTTTAATAAGGCCTGTAACACTTGGGTGTCAATATGGACCTTGTGACAATCCCTGTGGATTATTCTATTCTATCGTGTCGCTGAGAGGCAAGACCTCACATATGAGTACCCTATTCTTAAACAAAAGAAGCGCTTCGCAGTATGATTTGTAATGTGTCAATGATGATGACTTATAAATAGTTTTTTATTTAATAGATTTGTCTATTTTTGGTCTGAAGCTCTGTTGTAGTTAGAGGTCGGCGTTTAAACGAAAAGCACTTAAAAAAGTCTGCTTTTTAAGTAAGCGCAGAAGCTTACTTTGCATTTTAAGCGTAAGCTTTGGTCACTAGCCAGTTCTACAGGTACTCAACAATTTCATTCTTTACAACGTGCTTAAGTTTCAAGTAGCGCCATCTATGTTTTCTAAACAAATTAATTCAACATAATGAACGTAGGTTTTAATGTTAAAAAAATAAGCAGTTTTTTCCACTTCAACGGTTAACAACTACAAAAGTAAAACAACTTATGTTTTTGAACGCTTTTAAACGCCAATGAACAAAATGTTAATAATAATAATAATAATAATAACGCACACACTCAACATAGCCCCGCACTAGGGAAACCCTGTGTCGCGGGTGCCATGGACACACACATAGACAACCACAAATTACACCCAAACTCACGAGAGAAATAATTGCAGGCCATACAAATATTTCTCCCGGCCCGGGAATCGAACCTGGGACCTCTGCGTGGCAGTCCGGCATGGTAACCGTTCGGCCACGGAGGCAGTTAAAAAAAAATAATAATGTTATGTCATAAATAAAAACATAACTCTTTTTTTTATATAAAAAAACTTATCTTAAAACCCTTAGTGGTATACTCTTGGGTTTGCTATCAACACAACGTTGCAAGCTTTTTTTTAACGTTAGCTTCAAACTAAAAAGCGTTTAAGTGAAAAAGCGCTTAAAAAAGCACGCTTTTTTTGAAAAAGCATAATGTTTAAAAAAATAAACAGTTTTTACCATCTTTAGTTGTAGTATTTAAAATATTCATAAATACTACAAGATAAAATGCCTAAGTGTTTTTTACATCATTTGCGTGAAACAGAGACGCAGAGAGCGGGTGCGGGTCAAATGCGGGTCGGGCGCGAGTTGAGTGCAGGTCGGGCGCGAGTTGAGTGCAGGTCGGGCGCGGGTTGAGTACGGGTCGAGTGGGGACCAAGTCCGTGTATTTATATGGACAACAACACATCAAGAATGGGCGGCGGACTTAAGGAAAAGAAAAAAGCAGTCTACGAGAGCTAGTTTATTGTATAGTCTGAAGTCTGGTACAAGAAGAACCAAGAGTATTATTACAATTAAACTTGTAATACTAATTAAAGTAACAATGAACATGCTAAAAGTTGCAATTCTACAATTTAATAAATAAAGTTACGCAAACTCTAACTAATCTAGGTAAAACAATATCTGAGGATGCCGAGGCAGTATCCTTAACTGGCGCGCGACCTACACCCGCTCTCTGTGTCCTTCACGCTCACTTACTTTGGACAATGCACCAGTCTGTCTGCTCAAGTGAAAAGCAAGATCAAGATTGTGCAGATGTATGAACACATTGCAAGCCAGCTTTCGAATTGAATGCTGAGCCACCTTCGCGAATACCGCGTTGCGGAGCTCGTTGAAAGCCGCAGCCGTTGCTCGGGCGATGCCGTCTGGAAATTCAAAGAAACAACAATGGAATGTGTAGCTGCCTACTTGACTGAACGGTTACCATGCTGCTGAAGGTTTTGGGTTCGATTCCCGGGCTGAGAGAAATATTTGTGTGGCCTTCAATTATTTCCATCCTGAGTGAATATACATCCTAAACAGAAGAAGACAAAACAATCCAAGTCAAGAAAATAAAGTTGTTTAATTGTGATAGTCTTGGCTCCCAGTTGAGATTAGTGGTGATGACTAGAGATCAACTCCTGGCTGCAGTGGAGCGCTATTCAGATCTCGAATATGACACCTTAATACTCATTATCATTAACATTTCAGCGGACATTCACTGCTGCATATATGCCTCCCCAAAGATCTCCACAACAACCAGTATTGAGCCGATTCCTGCAACCTTCACGGAGTCGTCGGCCAACCTTGTAGATGGTCTGCCCACTTGAGAAAACTTTCACCCCTTAAAAATATTGTCTTTTTTTCATTACCCAATATGTTTACATTCGGCAATTCTCTTCAATGTAGTCAGTTTATTCAGTTGCAAAATAAGAGTTCAAAAGCATATTTATGGTAAAGAGAACACAGTACGAGTAGAAGAATTTCGATTAGTTTAAACAGACCTAGGAATCACTTACATCCAAGAAGTAGACTAAAAGCGGTAGTCCCAATAGCCTGAGGCACAGTCGCCATTCCTAATAAGGCATCTCCGGTGGACGTCACCGTCGCAGCATTCACCTCATCCACAGCATATTTGAATAGAAATGGCACAGTCACATTCATGATCTTTGCACCAAAGAGGAGTGAGAGGGAGAGCATTACTCGATCTCTTATCATTTTGTTCTCCTGGAAGATTGAAAGTATACATTAATTGATAATCATAACAAATAGTCATAGTAAAAGTTGCAGAATAATTTTGTATAATTTATACAGAAGCAATATTTCAAGTCACAGTGGTGCAAGCACAAAAAATCTTCACCAGAAAATAACATTTTCTTGAACTACAATTCATAATATTATAATAAAATAAATAGCAAAACATTTTACCTTAGGCCACACATAAGCCAACATCCCTCTCACCATATCAGTTCCAGAGACGGGTTTTGCATTCCCCAGGTTTATATCTTCACGGGATAAAACAGAAGCACCTGGATGAAAGCAGTCTCTCTTTTGGATACCTAAGGAATGGAGAACATCAGGATAGCACGTAGGAAAGGTTGAAATACGTACAAGGAAGTGGAGCATGCAGGAAAGGGAGAACTGCTTCAACCAAGGCATTATTAACAAGACAATACTGTGGAATAAGCACAAAAAATAGATGAAATTAGTAAATCTAGAAAAGAGAAATGTTGTTTGGATGTTTAATGCATTTCTATTTATGTAAAATACAGACCAAAAACGAATTCTGATCAATGTTTACAAATAAATCTCCAAAAAAAAAAATATATAATAACAAGCATTATTTGACGTTGTAATGATGTTATTTAATAATACAAAGTATTATTAGGTGGATACTTCTTTCATTTAAAACCATTTAAACCATTTATTTACCACACACAGTAATACGTACAGAACATAATAATATAACAACATTGTGGGAACAACAACAGTGCGTGGAAGGAACAGGCTCAGTATAATCCTTGTGGCTGTATGCCTTGCGGTACTGATTTTCAGCCTGACCGTGTTGACACATCGTTCTTCAACATAATCCAATTCAACGATACCATCGCCACGATAAACGTCGAATACTAATAATTATATCAGCTGAATTCATTAATAACATTTAATAGATTAATTTTTAAAAAATGGTATGACTATGTATGACAAATTTTTTTTATTTTATTTTTTATATTTCAGTCACACATAGATCAGAGGCATAACAAGAACAGCATCCAAAATGATTCAACTACTAATTAAGTATAACAAACACATAATAAGAGAAAACAATCAAAAACAAATGCACATGAAAAACTCATTAAGTAGATAATGAAAAGGCAAAACATAGCTTCTAATTGGACAAGCAATAGGAGTACTATACACAAGTCTATTCATATCATATACATTGTGAAGAATTGTTTGTATTTTAGTTATTGTGATCATACTTTTTCATAAACTGTGTATATTAAATAAAGAGATAAGTGATAATTAGTGAAGTTCGTACATTCAAGGGCACTGCAGTCCCACTGAAAATATTTTTTTTTATGCATTTCAGTGATATGCCAAGGTCCCAAAGGTTATGTAACACAGTGCAAAAACTGACCTTATTTGCTAACTTTTTTATAGAGAAGTATTCATATTAACGATTTTTCGGTGAACTTCGGGTGGTTCTTTTGTTGTATCACTTACCAACTGGTATTTTGCCAGTTTTTGGTTTGTTTGCCAACACTGCCGCTAAGACGTGTTTCGCTGAGTCCCCGCCACCCGCAGGGTTCGGAGACGTTGTAGAATAAAACTAGAAACATATTTCTCATACAGATACACAAATGATACCCATAAAATCGAAGAAAAGTTTTAAAAATCTGAAGTTTTGCTACGTATCGTAAGCAACCAAAACGTACCCTGAAATAGCTGGCGGTGGCACATTGCTTGCACAGAAAATTTAGTTGTGGCTTAGTCAAAATTACTAAACTACTAGTACTAAATGCTTTTGTAAATTTTGCTTTATTTCTAATTAATTTGTTAACAATTTTGTATGACAGCAAAGCAGCCGCCATGATTAAGAAATGACAACAATATCTGTGTTGCCATTTTAATTCATTTAAACGTTAACGAACTATATAGAGTTGGGTCATGGAAAATTTTCCATTAAAAAAAATTAATATTTTTCAGAACAATAAATATGTTTTCGGATATTTTTCCTCTAATATTAGTATCGTCATCGAGTATATAACCAGAAATAGGGACGAAATAAGGGCCATATATTCCTGGTAACATATTAGCGATACAGCTCTTATAAATATCAACTCTCGTAGGCACTGAAATATAGACAGGCCAACTACTCTGACCTGTGTGTACGTCTCTGTATATTCCAAAAAATATTCTGTATTTATTGTAATAAAGATAATATCTCTAACAATGCCGTGCTGTTCTATTCGGTGGTATGGGAAAAACATCTAATTACAAAACAAACGGAATCAGATTTCATCGGTAATGAAATATGTAATTTTGCAATTTTCGTCCATTATAGCAAAGCTCAAGTTAACAGGTCGATTTGAAGTGAAACAGTTGACGACACCCGTCAATTGTTTCGAACTCGGGCTAGCCAATCGGAGCGCAGTTGTCACGGTAATGATATGGCAGAATATTTTTCAAACAAATGAAATGACATTTCGTCTCTATTTCTAGGTATATACTCGATGAGTATCATCTACTGTAGAATTAAATTGAATGCGGGTTGCACCATTATTGAGCTGATAACGTCAAAGTGAAATATAATTTAAAGTAATGATAACTGCCTCCGTGGCGGAACAGTCACCATGCTGGACTGCCCCGCAGAGGTCCCGAGTTCGATTCCCGGGCCGGGAGAAATATTTGTATGGCTTCCATTAATTTATCTCGTCAGTTTGGGTGTAATTTGTGGTTGTCTATCATGGCGCGTGCGTTATTAATGTTGTAGAAAAAAAAATGTGGGTTACACAAAAATTGCTAAGCCCTTGGTAGTCTCTGCATCAATTATAGAAACAGTAGAAATAAAAAAGTTGGACAACAAAATTAAAGATATCCTGCACATTACTTAGTATTTAATAAATTTTTCTAATATAACAACATACTGAGACATGAGTGCTATACAATTACTTAAAACATAATCACATTCATAAGTTTCTAATTTACTAAGAGACTCTTTGACACTTACTACCTTATCTCTAACCATTGGTGTTATCAATTCATTTAAAAGTTTGTCATTTGAACATAAAGCTGCAGAATAGAGCATTCTGCTGACATCATGACTTTGGTTGTAGTAATACTTTACTACCATTAATAATCCATATAAATTAAAGCTCAAACCTCTCAAATCAATATACAAATGTTTATTCAAACCATGATTATGAATAAATGCCATTTGGTCTTGTGATAACTTTATCAATTTAGATTTCAAAAAGATTAAAACATCCTCAAAATTAAATGATACATAATCAAGATCATTGGCTGGTAAATAGAAACCGTACTCCGTTATAAGTTTCAGATTGTGACTATCCCCATAGCATATGTAGACTTCGGTATATGAATCAAAATGACTTTTTGTATATATTGAGAACCATACATCGGAAAATAATTTGTCATTTAAATAATTTACATTGATATTTTTTACATTAAAGCTAACCATTAATTTAGTTTCGTTTCTAGCGCTGGGGCTATGATTTATCATATCTAAGTAAGGACATAGTGATATTTTAGTATTATCGTGTATAAGATTTAATATTGAATTTTCTACATTTATGAGATCAACTAATTTTGATAGATCCATATAAACACACCTTGTATTCACTGTGAAATACGCCCATTCATAAACAGACATTGTAAACTTAGCTTTTAATTTAATAACAGCATCTTTGTCACTATTACTGTTCTCTAAAATTTTTTCAAAAATATGGAATGATGTCTTAATAATTTCATTTTGTTTATTAATCACAGCTAAGATATCAGTGTCAATGTGACACTTTAGGTAGTTTGGCAAAAAATAAGGAACTGTATATTCTTTAGGTAAACTATTTAAGTATATTGACCATTTTGTTTTGGATCCCTGTATTTTTAAGAACACTAAGTACATAGCCATTAATGATTGAAACGATACCTTGCGCTTGTACTCTACCACACATGGTGCTTTGTTCACTAAAAATATACTGCAAAAGTCTACATCCATCAAAATACTAGTTACATTGATAGTGCAATTAAGTGGTAGATTTAGCAACTCCTCTCCGGCCTTTATCTTTCGTTTTGTCAGCACGCCGCGGCCAGTGTCGTCAAATACAGCCAGTACAAGCTTCTCGTTACATTTCATACCTTGTTTCTTCAGCCAGGAGTTTAATAAAACTATTTCTGTGCTTTCGTTGCAAGTGTGGAAATTGCGAGCTTTTTTATGTCTTCTTTTGCGTTGCGTACGACCCATGGCAACGTCTGATGAGAGACAAGGTCGTGATTTCTTTATAACAATCCCAAGTTATTGTATTATTGTAGTTTACACATAAATCGGATTAAAAATAATTCATGTCGAGCGCCTGCCTTGCCGTGGGACTATTTTGACTTTTTGATATTGCGTCTTGTTTGTTCAATGTAAAAATATTGTAGAAATGAAGGAATAATTTAAAGAAAAATTAAGACATAAATTAGTGATTGCTCAACGAATTAAAGTTATGGTTTCATTATACACGTTTTGCATTACTGAAGAAAAATGTATTTTTCGATGCAGTTTAATTTATTCTTAGTATAAATCAAAATATAAATTAGCAGTATTAAAACGCAACATCGATAATGTTCTTCGTTCTAAAATACATTCACTGCTCTATCTAACACTATTTTCTCTTAATTTGGATAAAAATATAAAAAAGCAAACAATATGTGTATAAATATGAATACAAGTAAAATGCAAAAATTCTGCTTAAAATATTTCAAAAGTAAAGATATAACTTTGTTTTTTTTGTTTTCGTGTTTACCAGGTATACCATTCACTGTAGTATTTTCTATTTCGTTTTGAAATTAGTTAACAGCTGTCATTTCAAAAATTCAAACCAACGGATTTTCGAGTAACTTTGTTTTCGTATTTTGTTAATAATATAAAATTTTGTAATCGAAAAGTTAATTAAAAGTACCTAATTTTCGAAGTAAACACATCATGTCTCAACAGCAAACTAAAAATTCGATTACTCTTCGCGGTTCCGCTCAAATTGTATGCGAATATTTGAGTAAGTAAGTCGGTGATCTCCAAGAACCAATTAAAGCCAGTGTTTCGTATCGTTGTTTTTCGACCGACAGGACATTTTTACTTTATGTCTTCTTCCAGGCTTTGCTATCAACTCCGTACTGTTTCAAAGAGGCCTGTATCCTCCGGAGACTTTTAAAGCTCAGCAGCAATATGGTATAACGTTGCTGATTTCGGAAGATCCCTTAATTAAAAATTTTCTTACCAATTTGCTATCTCAGAGCGAAGGTACGTTACTATTATCTTCCTTCATTCTAAAATAATATAGAAAAAAGTTACTTTTTCTTGAAAAATAGCGATGTGCATAATATTTCAACACATAGACCTAAATAAACTGGTAGTTCTTTATAGTTGTTTTCACAAAGTCACGAATGCAGTGAAATACGCTTCTATGATATCATTTCTTAATATTGATCATCAAAATTTTCCATTTATTAGGCTTAAACATTAGACATTAACTGCTGTTGTGGTCAAACAGTTACCATACAGAGATCCTTGTTTTGATTTCTGTGCAGGGAGAAATAGTTTCATGGTCTGCATTTATTTCTTTCTGGAGTTTGGGTGTATTTTGCAGGAGTATTTGTGTGTGTCCATGGCACCTGCAATACGGTGTTTCATTTATTCATGTATATCTGTGTGTTATTTATTTATTTAAAGTTATTGTTTATTATATGCAAAATAGGCACCTCGACGTCGAGTTGCGGACACCTGCCCATTACACCAAGTAAAGTTATTGTGACTATGGAACTATATTATAGAGCTTCTGCATGTGCGAATGACAGAAATATATGGAAATACCAATTTAGGAAATGAACTTTTTTAAATTGGTTCTGTTCTGGGTGTTCTGAACAGTGCCTCAGAATTCCTTTCCTCTGGTACTGATAGTACATGGAATTCCCTAATTTGAGACCAGGCAATTGGTGTGGTTGTCTGGCATTTATATATAATTATTATTTACTTACTAAATTGTGTTAAATTGATTTTTACAGAATGGATCATTAACAAAAAAGTGAGCAAACTATCGCTTATAATAGTGAATGTAGCCAATAAAGAAGTTCTCGAGTGTTGGGACTTCAATGTCCAGTATGAAGATGGTGACACTACATTATCCAAAGAAAAAGGCGAACAAGTTGGCAGTAAAGATTTAAAGAAGATCCAGCAAGAAATTCGGGATGTAATGCTACAAGTGGCTGCCACAATCTCCTATCTACCATTCCTCGACTGCCGATGCTCCTTTGATGTACTTATCCATGCAAAAACTGACTGTGACATACCAGAAAAGTGGACAGAGGCTGAGCCTATAGCTATTAGTAATGCACAGAATGTACAACTCAAGACGTTTTCCACTAGTCTTCACAAGATGGAAACTGTTGTTAGTTATAAGTTAGTAGATTAGTGGTAGGTATAATTAGTGACCATAATACAATATTTGTAATATATCAGGTAGTTTTAGCGATTGGCACACATTGGAATTGAAACTATTTTTTCCGGATCTTAGTTGCGACCGTGGGATCTGTAATGAATAATGGTTGGAAAAAGGTGTTCCATACATGTATAGATATAGCTACAAGGAGGTTAATATTATATATATATATAGGTAAATATTAATTAATAATTTTTTTCGAATTCCGTATTTCCAGATGAAAGAAACTCCTTATTCTATACATAAAATCCAACTTTGATGTGCTAGGTATCTACCTAAAGTAAAGTACCAGTACAGTAAAAATATTTCTGGAAATTCGGAATTCGAAACTGTAATTAATTAATATTTGGTGGTACAACTCTGTCGCTCCTTGTAGGTATATCTATACATATGGAACATCTTTTGCCGACCATTGATAATGAACCCCATATTGGTTTGTTTGAAAAAACATTTATGGCTTAGATTTGAAAAAAAAAAAGATTATTTCCTATGTATCACATATATTTGTATAGGTTTGCTAGAGTGTAAGGTTTGTGTTATATGTTTCACAAAATGTTTCAATTTTTTGGCATGATCAATTGTCATTGACAATATGTGTAAGAAGTTGGTATGGTATGGTGTAACAGGCTGGTGTTCGCAATTCTACGTCCAGGCGCCTACTTTGCGGGTAGTGGCTGTAGGGTCCTACTCGTGCTATCCAAGCTCCTCTAGAAATATCAGCATCCTCCTGAATTTGTTGAGGACCTCGGGGAGTGACCTGGGTATTTCAAGGTACTTCGCCCTGTAGTGGGCCAAGCTGTAGTCTTGCAGTAGGCTCTCCATAGAGGGCTGTCTGTGATACCTAGATGGAAAAGGTGTTAATTATGTGGACTATACACGTTAGAGCAGGATTTCTTAACTTGTGGTCCATGGACCCCTAAGGGGTCCATGTTATGAATGCTGGGCGTCAGTCCAAAAAATCCTACCTAACATAAAGCAAGCCTACCTAACACAATGCATTAATTTCAAAATTGGTATACAATATGTTGCGAGTAAATAGGTACTTATTTACTCACACCATATTGTATACCAACGTGATGAGATGTGTACATAACCTTTTTGAATTTTCGCACCCTTTGATGGCCATTTATTATTAGAGCGAGGGAGATGCATATCAGATCTTACTAATTTAGTAGGTTTTCTATAGTATTTAAAGAGAAATATCTTCATATAAAAATGATGTGCAAAGTTAGATATTATAACTGCCACAGTCGCCGAACGGTTACCATGCTGAACTGCCACGCAGAGGTCCCAGGTTCGATTCCCGGGCCGGGATAAATATTTGTATGGCCTACTTTTATTTCTCTCGTGAGTTTGGGTGTAATTTGTGTTTGTCTAAGTGTGTGTCCATGGCACCCGCGACATAGGGTTTCCCTAGTGCGTATGCACTCAACATGTTGAGTGTATAAGTTATTATTAAAGCAACTATCCCTTACAACATTAATTATCGTAGTAATTTAAAATTTTGTCGAAAATAAATTACATAATAATCATGGAACTCTAACTCCAAATGTGTAAATAACTTTTTTCCGCGAAATTGTAAGATAACGCCCATCTCTGTTAATGGGATCACGTGTGAATTGATGTTTCATTACGTACGAGGCCAAGAAGACACCAACCCTTATCCTTCAGATTAAACTCTATTGGGATTAAGATTTATATTCAATTCTATTTACTATAAGAATGACCTAAAGTGTCAAGTGATGTGCTTGGTTTTCGAACGCTACATTCATTAATTTGATTAGCCTAAATACTTACTATGCTTTGTGTTTATGTATCATTTTATATAAAAGAGTGAAGGTGAAGAATGTATTTAAATATTTTATTGAATTGATATTCAATTATTTTTTATGTGCAATTACTCACTAGTTTTAATTATTAATACAAAGATCGAACATTCAGAAGAAATTCCTTTCGAACCGGTGTCTTCTAGCCAGGAAGCCTTCCAATCGAAGGAATTTTTACAAATAAAATAATTATAACAAACTAGTGGAGTAATTTCACAAAAAAAATTGACTATCAATTCAATAAAATATTTAAATACAGTGAATAGCGACTTGTCTAGCCGGGACTGGTAGCTGTAAAGGTGTGTCTAACTGGGCGACGAAATACTTTCAATTTGTTTTAGATGTCGTTGAAAAACCAAATGCATAGAAAAAATAAATACGATAAAAAAAATATTATTAATATTAATATAAAAGAAAAATACGACAACCAAACGCATAGAAAAATTCGTGAAATCCGCTGGTTCGTTCCGCGACTTAGTTGGTATAGAGTCTGACACGGTATGCTAGAAGGCGTCGGTTCGATTCCTGCCCGATGGAAGGATTTTTTCTGAATGAAGATATGTTTAAGTGTAAATAAAGCTGTGATATAGAAAATAGTTACTTGAAATAATCTTATACAGAAACAGTCGCAGCGAGTAAACCTTTGCACACAAATTCAGTGGCGCTGTAAACGCGCGTCATCTGCGCGTGTACGCATCGCAGAAGCACTGTATCGCGCATTTTGATAAGAGTTACCTAGTTTCAATTTTGGCATCGTTTGTTAATTTCAGGTAGTGTTTGAAATGAAGCAACTAGAAAAGCTTAAGAGCATGCACACTGCGTCGTTTTAAACACGTGTTGTACTAAATTATTACCATTCGTTTTTGGGTGTTTATTTTTCACGCGTTGCACTTCACACGAAGTGTGAAAAGGATATAAAATCATAGCAAAAGTTGTCGTCAACATGAAATTCTAAGTGTAATCTCCAGTGGAGTATATAAGCTTCTTGCTTGCAACGCGATATTTGCGCGCGTTTGAATCGGTGGATGGCCCGCTGACGCAAGGTCACAATACTTGTGTTTTTAACTTATGGATCATGATGTCTTCTTGGTTATTGTCGTTTTTTTTATTTTGTTACAGTTATTCATTGCAAAAAATTAAGATTTGCTGGGTAGCTAATTAGTTGTAGTAATATTGATGATATCGATGTTCCCCGAATGAACGTGCAAAACTTTTACTCAGGCTGTAATGTTGTATTATACAGTTCTAGAACATTAGAAATTTCATTTACGACGTGAAACAAAGTTAGTTTGTTCCCACCGTTTTCGTCATATGTTTTTTCGTAATAAATTCAGGTACTTACTTTTTTCCATTTTTCCTATAAAGTTGGTGTTTTGATAATACTCGTTATTCCGTGGGGTCGTCGGTATGCTACTAATTGTAAAGCATTGTTTGTGCATCGGTATTTTTTTAATAAAATTTTAATCTTTTAACTAACAAACTATGTGTTTAAAGTTATTCTTACCGATATCCACTTGCACTTTTCACATACACAAATGAAGTTCTCTAGTACAACAGCTGTTAGTCTTCAATATTTTTTAAAATATTTTGTTTCGGATTATTCATCTATATTGGCTAGTAAAACAAGAAATGTACCTACACACGCTAATCTTAGCAATTACGCCTTTCCATAGACCAATATCTGGAGGTCCGTCCGAAACAATTACTGTCAAATAAGTAATTTTCGACATAATTAAAAGACAAGTATCCAGTATGAATGAAGCTTCATTCGCATCACGCGTCTTTTCATTTGGTCAAGTATTGCTTATTTGGCAGTAATTGTTTCGGACGGAGATCGAAAGTAGACCCCCTGATTGGGGCGATACCAATCTTGTCAAATTTAACGCTACCAAAACTCAGGCGTATCTATTCTGCGTAAAACGGAGTCCCTTTGAGCTGACTCCGACTTTTCGTGATGTATACCGATAGACGCCGTCTCCAGTTGTTTGGAATGGACCTGTCGCTGAACTTCGGCAGATACATTGAATCCATGGCCAAAAATGCAGCAAGGAAGCTTGGCATTCCAAGCTGAGTTGAGAAAAAGTTTTCTCCGGTTTTTTAAATTCAAATTTTCGATAAGGATTTAAGGAAACGATGTTTAGTATACCAGTTTCAAAGTTGTATGATAGTTTTTGATCAATCAAGCATTGTTTAGGCTCAGGGCATTTGATATTGAAAATGTAAGGTGGCTCGAATTATTTGTCCGGGAGTATATTTACAAAACTAGCTATTTGTAGGTACTTGTCGCTGCATCTGGTGCACCAATAGATACTAAATACCCGACTACGCTTTCTTTTATTACGATTGGCAGTACTCTGAGTTATTGGTTCGTGACCTTACAAAAATATGTATCTACTAGACTTGGGGTACACATGAAGTTTGCCTGCCAGCAATGATACTCGGGATGCTGTTATCGCTGCCACATGGCCCATGGTTGCCACCCATTCTGCGCATCAAGAATGCCGTTCTCTTTTGCATGACGGCGGCAAATCCATGTGCATCGGCGAACATTCCCAAAGCGCTATAGAATCGTGGCAGCCGATACAGAAATAGAAAAAGAAACAAACGGCCACTTTAATAATTTATTTATAACAAAGCTCTTACAAATAGCGATTAAAAGCTACAATAAATAACATCTATTCAGCAAATAATACTGTACAAATTGTTAATACAACTTAACATTTTAACGTCGCCCTATCTATAGCTTGAAAAGTTAATAAAGTGTATTCATATGTATATATATATATGTATAATATATATAATGTACAGCTAGCGTCAGAAGTCACTGATAATATAAATTACGTCACACGACCCAAACCAATATTCTAACATATTTCAACGTTGCCTGGGCCGTCAATTTTATTAATAATAAACGTGCATAATAGGATAAATATGACAAAATTAGACTTAAATGTCAAATTCCATGGCCAGTGATGTTATTATTATTTTCGTTAATGGCGGCCACTATAGGCATGGGCCTAATATGTTACAAGTATGTTACAAAGTTACAGGAAATAGTTGACCAAATTGTAACAATTGGTTGTCACAATTTTGTAGTCATGGTAAGCAAAGTGTAACTTGTTATAGG